GCCATACGAACAGGGACGGGGGAGGACGGATAACGACCTACCAGCCCGAGAAGCAGCTGAGCAGTACCCCGCCACGCCCCACGGCTGCACCCACCGAACTTCAACTGTGCGGACGTCTCCACAAGCTACACAACAGACACCAGCAAAACCCAAGGGACGCCCGTTGCCGACAGGGCCGGAGGGCCACGAATGCCAACTGCAGACTGCGGAAGGGAGAGCGGCGGCCGGGCCATCTGGGGGCGGGAGGACTGCATCCGGCGGCCAGACCCAGCAAAGGGGAGTGGGGGGGCTGTCCCTTAGCAACCAGGACGGTAGGCAGGGCAAGTTTGGCGGCGGGCAACTGACGCGCGGATCGGGCGCACGGACAACGGGGGGTGGGGGCGGAGTTCCGTCGGGGAAAGGGAAAGCACAGGGAAAGGGTGGAGCATTTATTCATTTGGAAGGGATGGTGGTTTGGAACCGGGGGCGGACCCACAGGGTGGAGCACGCCGATATATGGCGGTGGGAGGAAACTAACCCCAGTGCTGACTTTGTCTCACTTGCATAATAAAGTGCTTGTTGGGTGTCAGTGTGTGCCGGTCTTCTTTGCCTTCGCGCTACGGACGACAGCGGATATTCTGACATAAAGTCAGCACTCCTCTAACGTTTCTCCAGCCTCCAGCTCCCACGTGCGGTGGAAGGCTAAGGTATGGCGGAGGGAACGCAGGGCCCCGCCCTGGCCGAGGGAGAGGTGGCGACCGACGGGGCAGCGGACGTGGTCCCGGCGTCGGAGGCGGCGGCAGCCCAGCCGGTGGTGCGGCCGAAACTGCTACTGCATGCAATCCCGGGACTCGACGTGGGGGAGGCAGGGGCCGCTAAGCCACAGGAGGAGTGGTGGCAAAGCCCGGCGGTAACGGGATTGCAAACCGAACAACTACTAACACCGAAGCCGAAGCCCAGTCATTCGGGGTGGAGGGAGAGACGCGCCACCATGGAGGATGATGAAGACTGGAGCTACTCTACGGCCCCGGGCCAAGAGACCATGGATATATTGCGCCATCGGTTTGGCGAAGCAAGTTATAGGGGCGCCGCCGATATGTGGCAATTGGAAGGGGATGCTGCGGGCCGCACCCCCTCATCTAGGTTCCGCCTGAGTAGTCCGCGGCTGCGGTTGCCTAATCCCACGGGTGGGTTGGGAACCCTGGGTCTCCCTTCAAGCAGGCCGCCGGGTCAGGCGCACTCAGCTCAGCCGGGCGGCCCCAAGGATGTGGCAAGAGGTCCAGCGAGGCCAGGGGGTGTGGAGCAGCAGGGCTTCGCGGCCGGTTTATCCGAACCTCATGCCAGGCCAACCCCAGGGGCCGTGGGGGCCAGGCTATCCATGGGGGGTTCCTCCTATTCCGGTAACCTTTGATGGGAACCCCGACCACCTGGCAATGTTCTTGGGCCAGGCCATAAGCCACCTGGACCAGTTTGCACAGCTATATGTCTCCCAATGGGCTATGGTCGGCGCCATTACCGCCGCCTTACGCGGAGAGGCGGCTGCATGGGCAGCCGACCTGTACAGTGACCATGCCCGAGAGTTGGGGAATGCGGGGCTGTTCTTGGACGCTCTGCATGGGAGATTTGAGGATCCTACCCGGGCGCAGAGGGCCGAGGCAGACCTGCTGGCGCTCCACCAGGGGAACCGCCCAGCCGTCGAATACGTGCGGGAGTTCCGGAAGTTAGCCGGCCGGTTGCAGTCTTCATGGCCGGAGCGGATGTTGGTACATCAATTCAGAGCAGGCCTAGACTATGACCTACGGCAAGCCTGCGTGTACTGGGGTGTGCCCAACAGATTGAGAGACTGGTTTAGGGTGGTGGTCGAACTCAAGGCAGGCCTTAAGGCTGTATATCGAGGGATCGGGGACGTCCCGCGACCGCAGCGTCCCGGAGAGAGGCCTCGCGAGGGAAGCCAGGACCAACAGCGGATAACGCCAAAACCAACCGGGGCGTCAAAAGAAGCCGGCTTCCGGTAGGCAGGGCAAGTTTGGCGGCGGGCAACTGACGCGCGGATCGGGCGCACGGACAACGGGGGGTGGGGGCGGAGTTCCGTCGGGGAAAGGGAAAGCACAGGGAAAGGGTGGAGCATTTATTCATTTGGAACGGATGGTGGTTTGGAACCGGGGGCGGACCCACAGGGTGGAGCACGCCGATATATGGCGGTGGGAGGAAACTAATCCCAGTGCTGACTTTGTCTCACTTGCATAATAAAGTGCTTGTTGGGTGTCAGTGTGTGCCGATCTTCTTTGCCTTCGCGCTACGGACGACAGCGGATATTCTGACAATATGCACTTGAACAGGATTAAACCATTATAATTTATATGGTAGTTCTCAAAGTGCTACTGGATGGTTTTTTTGTGTGTGTGTTAAACTGTAAAGAGAAATGGTCCCCAAAGAAGACTCATAATTATTATTTCATTATAGATAAGCTTTGACTTTGGATATATTTTTAAGTATCACATATACAGTGTTTCAGCCTATGACATTTGAAGGTTTGATAGGACAATCACTTTATTATGTAACTAATCCATATAGGGTTATTCATATAGTTAAAATAAAGGGTTTAATGAGCTTTTGGGAAGAGAAAAATGCTTCAGTAGCAGACAATTTTAAGCCACAAAAAATGAAGGACACTGAATACTCCAACACTAACTTGTCGTCTAAGAATGACCAGACTAAACCATTAAACTATAAGGGACCATGATTAGTAGGTTGCAATAGGATAAATAGATAAGGAAACATATTGCACAATATAAGACTCTTTAATGATCGTACCACTTTATAATTCTGCTCTGAAGCATGGAATTCCTAAATCAACCAACCCAACATCAATACGTGTCAGAATTTATTTCATCCTTCAATGGACACTAATTTCCAGTCCTACTTGGAGAGTTGTCCTTGTTATACAGTACTCTAATCTAGACGGAGCTGCATTCTACAGAGAAAAACCCTTTCAAGGTACTTATTGTGTGTTAGGAAATTGGATGAGGACCTCTAAGTAACTGGCAAGAAGCAGCTATCAATTTCTTTGGTGAGTACAAAATTGTATGTTTTGAAAAAGACACAAATGTGGCTCAATTGGTGTGTTTTGGCTGGTCTTAATAAAGGCACTGCCTGATTCTGGATACTTTCAACAGCTTGGCAAGTATTAATATCCTAAATAATGCTGTTGAACTCATTTTCACCCCTGGTTATCAACACAATTTATATACAATGTAGAATCTCTATGTCAGATTCCCCAGCAGACATGGGTTCAAGTTTTTCTAGCTTGTTTTCATCAAGATACTGGCTGCTGGTACAATAATATAGAAATGGTCTTCTGTGGAAAAGCTTGGAGCAATTTAATTAGAACAAGATTCTATTAGTGCCTAAACCTGATTTACTACTCAATAAGAAACACACATAGGCCTTTGCTTTGTTTGTTGGTACAAAGCAGTTTGTTTCAGTGTAGATAGCTAGCTATATACAAAACATGTGGCACTGTAGCACTAGAAAACTAAAACCATTGCATATGTTAGTTATGGGAGTGTGAGAATCATTGACAGCCTAGATTGCATGCTCTTTAATTAATTGCATATTTCAAGTGGCAGCATGCTATCATTCTTGCTAAAGGAATACAGGAACATTTTAACCACTAGAGGGCAAACTTTACCAAACTGTAGGTAGAAATCAGAGCCAGAAAAATCCCCATAATTGTTATATTTCATGTTATGCAATATATATATAAAATACATGTATATATTTGGTATGTAGATTCAAAGAAAAACACCAATAAAATAACCGCAGCTAAATTTCCAATTGCACTCAAAGGAAAATTTGGACATATCTATTATATCACGACTGCTTTGTAAGAACAGGTTATGGATAATCTCCAATGCGCTTAGATACATTGCCCTAGTTGTTATAGTTCTAAATCCCACACAGTGTTCATCTTCTTTGTTATTGTACAGTTTTCTATTTTTAGACACTGCATTTTGCTGAATACATACAGTGCATTCAGAAAGTATTCAGACTCCCTTCACTTTTGCAGTCTGATTCTACAGTTGTTGAAATTCACTTTTTTCTCATTAACCTACACTCAGTACCCCATAATGACCAAGTGAAAACAGAATTTTAGAAATGTCTGTAAATTTATTAAAAAGAAAAAACTGAAATATCACATTGGCATAAGTATTCAGATCCTTCACTCAGTACTTTGTTGAAGCACCTCTGGCAGGCAGCAATTACAACCTCGAGACTTTCGGGGTATGATGTGACAAGATATGCAAATCAAGCCCCGCAAAAATAAAAACAAATCTTTGAGAAAACCAAGCAACGCCTTAAAGAAACATCTTCAAATTAAGATTATGATGGTTGAGATTTTGAACAAGCTTCAAATCCAAAAGAAAAGTTTTTCCCCTAAGAAAAATGTTTTTCATTATAAGCAAATAATTATTTTATTATTATTAAAAGCAACATACATATCAATGAGGGTTTTTTGGACATTACTTTTGGGTTTGCTTTCGTAAGATGGCGCAGCAGTTAGAGTGCAGTACTGCAGGCCACTTTAGCTGACTGTGTTCAGCAGGTCAGCAGTTCAAATCTCACCGGCTCAAGGTTGACTCAGTCTTCCATCCTTCCGGGGTAGGTAAAATGAGGACCCAGATTGTTGGGGGCAATGTAAATATATATATACATTGCTTACTGGTGTATACCGCTTAGAGAGTGCTTGCACTTAAAGCTGTATATAAGTCTCATAAAATAAATAAATAAATAATTCTTTTGCTTTGATCCTTTTCTTGAAGCACAGAAGACACGGCTTTTGGCAATATCCTTCTTGAGGCCATGCAGTGAACAAGTAGAGTGAAATCTACCATTTGGAAGTCCCTTATCTTCACCCAGACTTTCCACTGAATTAATGAGATGCTTCAGCATGGCTCCACTGTTAGATTTATTTATAAGACGACATTCTATTAAATTATATGAGCTTAAAAAAATCTTACCTTTTCCTTGAGGGCCCTTCTTCAAAATCTGAAGAACTAATATCATTGGAAGTTGAGGATACTTGTGATGCATCATCCTTCTCATTCTCTAGCTGGTCAGATCCTGGCCTTAATCCTTTAGACGGGCCATTACCAAGGAGTCCTGTAATTAAAAAACAAAAGAGTTAAGACAAATAGCCACAAATCTACTCCAAAATATACTACAGACAGCCAGAAACACATACACACACAGTGAGACAAAGAATAGCTATAGCACCAGACATTCTTTTCTAAAAAATATCAACTTTATAAAATGTAGCCTAATAATATTACTAAATAATATATGAAATGAACTTATTATACTGCTCATGTACATTATGAATCTTATCTCAGTTATCTCTTCCAGTCTTTTCTCTCAATATTTTAAATCCTGTGAAAACTGTTGCAATTGTGTGCCTTCTGGAAAGGTAATTGTGACTTTCTGTCCAAGATGAGATTTTAGCTGATTCATGGCCCATCTCATTTTACTGAAATACTTTAGGCCAGTCAAGTACAGTAAATTGTCAGCATTACAGACCTCAATTCACTAAGCTTTAGATGTAACAGATAAAACCTGAATTTCTATTTCATCCAAAGCAACGGACACCTGTTTTTTCATATTACAGGTAATCCTCAATTTAGGACTGGTTGCTTAATGACTGTTCAAAGTTACAATGGACTCGAAAAAAGTTATGACCCTTCCTGGAAGTCATGACTGCCACACCACCATTCCTGTCACATGATCATATTTTGGGAGCTTGGCAGTTGGCTCACGTTTACAACACATTGCAGAATCTCATGGTTACATGATTGTGTTTTGCAACTAGTTTGCAGAATGCTATGTGCCAATATATTTCCCTCTATTTTAAGGATGAACACAAAGCTCTTTAAAGCCATGAGAAATAAAATTAAACTGCATGAATACCCCACTTGGTTGTTGTTCTTAATGTTGAGAACAATAAAACAAAGTGTGATCTTCACCATCAAAAGTTCTTTGGACCCTGTTCTGAATGAATAATTCTTCATAAGAGTTACAGAAAGCATTTAACTGTTCTTTTTCTTTCTTTAGAACTGCATTTCCAAATAATCTTACATATTTGACACAAAGAATAGTTGTAGAAATCAGTGCTGAATTTTCAGAATAGTGCTGGATATAATCGATTTAAGGTACCTACATGTAGACCTTAACTAACCTTTAAATCAGGGGTAGTCAACCTTGGCTCTTTTATGACTCGTGGACTTCAACTCCCAGAATTCCTGAGCCAGCATGGCTGGCTCAAGAATTCTGGGAGTTGAAGTCCACGAGTCATAAAAGAGCCAAGGTTGACTACCCCTGCTTTAAATCATAATAAACTAACAAAAACAGAGCTTGGATGCTAAAGAAGCTATTAGAATATTAATTGCTATCTTGCCATAAATAAAGATTAGCTAGTTTCCCTGGACAGGAGCAAAACATGACTCAATTGACTAAACTACAATAAAGTTATTCTAGACCGTATGGAGATGATGTTAAACTTGTGACACGCTTCAATACTTTTTTAAAAAGAAGGAAATTACATTTTAAACATTAGATTAATATTTTCTGTAGATCTAATCTCTTTAATGGGTTCAGTAAAAAAACTGGAGAAAATCCTAGAATTTCCATTAATTCTAAAACACATTTCAACGTGATGGCATATATGAATAAAAACAGAGGTGTTCCCTCACCCCTTTTCTTTGTTAATTAATTTCTTTTTCCTCCCACTTTTCACCATCACCTTTATCTCTATTTAACACAAAAGATAATAAGCGGTTTCAGCCAAACACTGTTAAACTCCGGAAGCACACTTGAGAAGGATCACTCTGCACAGGTCTCACTACCTACACACAAAACAGCCGTGCCTGTTGCCACCTTTACACTTACCAATGATATAAATGAACTGTATGCATGAACTGATCTCCGCAGTTGCTAGGAGCTGAACATGACTTAATGGCACATAATCAATGTGCAAACTGATATTTGTCAGCTACCAAATACATTACTAGCAGATTCTGTGGCCAATAAACTGGTTGTGGCCTCACAACTCAGTTACATTTTAAAATAACATATTTGATGCCACTCTCACGAAATGGAAGGCTGCCTTTTGTCATTAGGTACATTTATTTTTTTGTGATAAACAGAGACATAATGTAACAGCCATTAAAAAAATAACGTATTCAATGGTGCTCGAATATTAATCATTATTTCAAAGCCTGAAATAACAGCAATAATAAAAACATTTGCTTTGAGGAATATTAGTTTTTTTTTAAAAAAATAAAAGATGTTAAATCTTACAGTCTTAACATTCCTATTTTTTTATTCCTATTTTCATTTATTTCTATGCCCCCAAAATCCATTTATTATTAATGTATCACTGAATTTGGGGCCATAGATTATTTACACAAATAGCTCATTGTCCATGGTCTATGTTTTATTGATAATTAGAAATAAGACTTCAATATATTGTGGAAAGGTTTTTGCAGTTTACAGGCAGCATTAATACATAATAATGTGACTGAGAGGCCCTTCCACCAAGTTTGTGAAAGATTCAGACAGAAGGAGAAGCCAATGTTACCCACATGGTGCAAGTGAGGCAAACCCTTAACCACTAGCTGATGAGTTGCTTTGAAGAAATATTGGCCAGCTGCTGCAAGAAAGCCACAGTGATCTCTTGCAACTAGATTAACCCAATGAAATGTGAATAACTGAGCAAGGAAGAGGGGAAAAAAAATACAGGTACATTTTACAGAATCACTTGTGGCAGGAAGAGGGAAGAAGCGCTTATGGAATGAAGAGTAAAACCACAAGCTGTGAAAATTAACCCCAAATTTCTCTAGACTCATTGTTTACTGTTTCATTATTCACAGTTTTAGGAACCAGAACCTCTGTAAATACTGAGGGGCAGCTGATTTGCTACAAATTGGGGAATTAAGTCAACATCCACTTTGTCACCTAGCGGCATAAGATACTTCACGGACAGAACAGCATCACAATCAGAAAATAAACAACAAAAGGATGTTTGAACCCTTAAAACGTCATCAGGATTTTTCTTTTTGAACATTTTGCATGAAACATAACATCATGAAATACAATACATGAGATTGATTAGAAAAAAAATAGAAGATAACAGGAAAAAAAATGAAAGTTATGATGTAACCATAGCATAAAGGCTAATTTAAATATATGCTTATAATCTATTGTAAAAAATAAGTTGGAAGTCACTTGTCTTTCTATGTCTTTTTCTGCACTTTCCACTTTGCTTTATCTTTCTTTGTTTACTTTTTTCTCTTTTCTATCTTGAAGTTTTTGCTTTTATTCTTTCTACATTTTTTTAAAATTTATGCCATTCATATGGCATATTCTGCAATGTTTACCTTATTTTTACACCCAAGGAAGAGCCCATCTGAAAATCAAACTTAGGAGAGGCCAGGCTGATGTGTAGTTATACAATTCTACCTGCAGTGACCATAGGTCCTGTATTATAAAAGACAATCCTTTATTTTTTTAAAAAAATGCCTTTTAAATTTATTTATTTTTCAAAACCTCACTTTTGAACTTTATTTTGGTAATTTAACTGTTCTTACAAATGGTACCTCTTAATGTATGTTCTTTAATATACATATGAAAAATAAGGAACTTGAATTGTCTTTTTAAAATAAATTTACCCATAGTGTTTGATTTAGATTTTATTAGAATATGCAGTTTTATAAAGTTTTTCTTGGCTTTGCTGCTGAATTTTCCTTTGTAAAAGAATTAAATGATTTATCCTTTTGAACTTTAAAACACACAAAAAAAGCATAACCGGGCTTTTACTAAAAGAACTGTGCAGATCACAATCCATTTCATGAGAACATAAAAGATTAAAAAATGATATGGTTCAGATTCCTATTCTCCACTTCTGCCTGTGATTGATGCCCCTGCTTAAATGCAATCCTACAAGTCAACATCTAGAACAAAAGTAGGTCCTTTAGACAAACAAAGCAAGTGTGGCTGAAAACATAACAAACACACACACACTTTTTATAGCCTTGGAATAAAGCCAAGTGAAATTCTCTCTCCACCACTTCCCTTTACAAGCATCCCTCAGTTTTCATCCCAAAAGATGTAACCAATTTAGGTTTATTTCAGGCTTTAGCTAAACAACATTTAATTGCAATCTGGAATACAAATTGTGAACAATCCCTAAGCAAAGTCTAGGTGCTCCCATTAAAGTAAGAATGGGCTGAGAAATCAACAATAACTTTCAATTGTTTCAGTGGAAGTTACAAATTCTAATTACATATTGAAATCTTTAAATAAATTTAATTGGGATATTTTTGCATAGGAAACAAATTGACTTCAAACAATGCAGCTTAAGCTCCACCACCACCCCTCCTATAAATAGTCTTATAAATGTGATGTTCTCATGAATGCCACAAAGACACACCATAGACCAGTCCTTTTGATAGTCCCAGGTTGCCAGATCCTGGAAAACAAATATCTGGAAAGGGAATCCTTTTGCAGTTGTGATGGTTCCCCACAGTACACAGGATCTATTAGAATGCAGTAATTCACAGTAGACACTTATCCACTAATGCAAATATTGGAATGGTGAACAAGTTAAAAAGAAAATTTGAAGAACATGAGGCGAAAAAGTTTTGAATAGCGCCGCGATCTAAACTTATTAGTAATTCACTACAATACATGCACTTTTTGAGTCAAAGCCCATTTATAATGACAACACTGTCTTCTGTAGGTTAGATTTTTAAAAACCAATTTAAAATTTATTCTGAAAACAGAATAAATTTCCTTCCTGAGGAAATAAAAGACTGATATTCCAAGACAAAAATCTCTTCTTAAGCAAGAAGCTGCAAAGAAAAAAGGGGAAGTTATCATAAATTTGTTCCCATTGATCAGATTATGAAGTGCACTCAAAACAAAAATCAAATTGTCCAATTTAAAGTCTTTTACCCTTTCATAATACCTTATGCTGCCAATTTATTTTCTTTAAAAAATGTCATCATAAAGAAGAAGCTTTTCATTACAGTGCCTTCCCACCAAATTCTTTTCATAAAACTGAAAAATAATCTTTGGTGATCATGAGAAGTTATTTCAGTCCTGTTGAT